ACTGTTTTCATTTATATTAGTTATGCAAATTGTGTAATACACAGAGGTGATGACTCTGAGTGATGTACATTTAACTGCTTATTATGAACTAAAATACTATCATAGCTATCCTCTTCCTTTAGAAGTGGAAAGAACCATTTATTCCTCAGTCTGGTTTTGGAGCAAATCATCCCTCAAATATCTTTCTAGGTACATGTTTCAATAGCATATTTCAGGGAAACTAGGTATTACTAAAAATTAAAAATGCAAAACACTAAGTAGACTAGGAGATATTTATACAAAAAAATACATGAGAAGAGAAAAATTCATTTTCTGTTTTACAGCTTGAATTTCCTCACCAAACTCATGTTGAAATCCCATTCCCATTATGAAGTATTAAGGTGAAGACCAAGTGAGACTCTGAAGACATAATTAGGTCATGAGGACTATCTTCATTAACGTGTTCATGGATTAACAGGTTAGTGAGTTATCTCTAAAGCAGGACTGTTATAAGACCTTGTTTGACTCTGTCACTGGTATGTGTGTCTCTCACTATGTTATGTCCTGTACTGCCTCTGAACTCAGCAGAGTTCCCACCAGCAAGACCTTGTCTAGATGTGGCCTCTCAATCCTGGACCTAATACCTCCAGAACTGAGCTTAGTTAACCCTTATTCTTTATAAATTACCTAGTCTGTGATATTCAGTGATAGCAACAGAAAATGAACCAAAACAAATTGTAATGGTCAAAGATGTTACTATTTACAGTAGCAATGTTTATATAATAAAATAGTAATTTTTCCTCCTGGGTTATTATGATTTAAATGATATATATATATATATATACACACACACATACATACATTCCATATATATATGGAAATCTTTAACATTCTTATGAGATATTAATATTTACATCATGTTGACCACTATGATAAGGGCAATATCTTGTACTTTGAATATTTCAATTTTTTTTTTTGGTACCGGGGATCGAACTGAGGACCTTGCGTTTGTGGGGCAGGCGGCAGAACCACTGAGCTAAATCCCCGGCCCTCAAATTTTTTTTATTCAATAAATGTTTGTTGAGCATCTACTGTGTTAGTCCTGGGTATACAATGGAGGACAGGACATGTTTCTTCTTTCATGAGTTTCTCTCCAAAGACTATAACCACTCAGGTACTTGTGGTCACTAATATTAATGGGATCATATTATAGTGATTAATTTATTCATTTATTAAGTAAATAATTATTGACAACTGACTATTCAGGCAGCGTGCCGAAGATTTAGCATGAGCAAAATGAATAGACTCCCTGCCCTTAAGAAGCTGACTGCCTATTAGTATATGGATACAAGAAAATAGCCTCTGAAAATACATTGTTTTAAATTTTACATGAAGAAAGTCCCTTAAGGTATGGAGAAACAAGGAGGGGCATTCAACCATGAGTTAAGGAGCCAGCAAAGGCTTCCCAAGATGAGAAAGATCCAAGCAGCGACTAAAAGATACAGGAACTAGCTAGAGCTCTGGTATAGAGCAGAGATGTGAGGCCTGGAAACAAGCCAGGAAGGCAGGTAGTGTGGTTAGTGTGGAGAACCTCATGGAGGGCCTGGGATGGAGTATGGGGCAGGAGAAGAAAGATTGATCATGAGAGCTTTGCAAGCCACAGTGAGACCTTGGACTAGAACCTATGGTGTAAGAAGGAACAACTGAAGTGTTTGAAGCACAGAAGAGCCATGATTAGGAATGGGTCTGTGTAAAGAATATACTTGCACTCCCACTCCATCCCTGAAAGCTTTGCCACTCCAACGGATGGTTTATATGTGTGTTTTATTTGGCATGGGATTCAGGCTCAGATGTTTCAACTTATCTGAAGTCAAATGTCAATTTAAAATTACTGTTTACAGAGTACACTGCCTTTTCAGTTGGGATGTTTTTCCTTGCTCCTTTACCCTAGTAAGCACCATAATCTTGGGTCTCTATTTAGATGTCCCATAGTGGATACTATCCTCATTTAGAATGTGAGCGGGTGGGTCCCAGTGATTCCAAAGAGAGGAAATGCTTGGAATGCTTTTTCCTGTCACAAAATCTATTCCAGAGATGCACTATTCCTGTTCAAAACTATTCTTCAATTTCTTCTAACATCTGGATGAGACCATCATTGAAACTCCAACATCTCTTTAGCACCTGCTAGTGTCTGTTTTAACAAAAAATGATTAGATCCTAGACAAGATCTGTCTGCAGGCAGCTGTGCTGAAAAAGGGAGCCTGAGGCATACAGGTCCTGGCAGGGAGTGAACAGAGCACCTCAGGGCCTGCATCCTGGAAGTTGTAAATGTGAAGAGATTCAGTCATTAAATTCAGTTCATGCAAAGGAGTTAGACCCTTATATCTGTCTGTTGTGGTTGTATAATGGGGATGCCACTTTTCTGTGGATTTCCTGGTGAAGGTAATTTAGTGCTATGCCTTTGTGGTAAGGGAAACTTTCTGGATTTCCTGAAATACAAGATGAATTTCTATGGTCACGTATCATAAAATCTTGTTCTGAGTGTGCTTGATGGACCCCTGGACTTTATGTATGTGATTTTTTAGTGTGGCATATTTTCATCTTCAGTGCTATTTTATATCTTCCTTCAGAAGAAATCTTTCCATGGCAGAGAAATAGATCACATGCAAGCCAAGATGTTACTAATGCAGTTTCCTCTTTTTCCTTTGCTTCTCTACTATGCTGAGGCCTAGAGCTGACCTGGGGGCCTGAATTGGGCTTGCTTCATAAAAAGTAAAAAAGAAAAGACAAACTCAAACCCATAGTTTTACACAATGAATATAAGCTTCTCAAGGATTTTACTGCTGAGCTAATATAGACAATAAAAGCTTTAAAAATTGGCACTTTAATTACTGAACAGATCACAAAAAGAGATGCATACTAAAACAAACAAAATAAAATGTGGTGATAAAAGGGTTAACATTCTCAGCATCCAAATTTCTCTGATGACACTGTCCTCCCCAGCGCATACTGAGCAGTCCTGAGGCACTGCACTAATGATGACTAGAAACAGCACAAGGTAAAAATAAATACAAACCCCATTTCTTTCCTTCCAATGAGTTAATGCTCTATCTTTACCATAAAGGTTAAAACACACAAATATCCTTATCTAAGTCTGAAGGGCCTTTTGTAAGGCCTAAGCAAGAGGCCTTGGCAGTGTGCAACTTTGTTGTGCAACTTTAAAAACAGTTAAGTATGTTCCTAAAGGGTCAACAGGAACCAGGTGTCCTGGAAGAAACATTCCTGAGATACCTAGATTGCTAAGACCCTTCCCCATGACTTTAGTCCTTTATAAAACCCCAATATCCCACCATGACTTTGTGATTTCTGTCTTGGAAACTCATCCACTGTACCTCTTGACAGTGCACTCTGATCTAAACAAACTTGTCTTCCCTATATTCCTTGACTGTTGGTAAGTTCTTTTTCACATCAACAGCACTGGTCCTCCATATGCGATTTCACATGACACAACACACACACACACACACACACACACACATTTACAGCATAATAGCTATTGCAATCTTAACCTACTGTCTTCAAAGGTGAGAGTATACTTGTGCTTCAGTTATTGTTTAATTGTTGAATATATTCTCTTTCTTATAGTTTCCTTCCCATATTCAGAAATGCTCAATTTTTAAGTTAAGCAACAAATGGCTACATTTTTTTTCTAGTAGGACTACTCTGAGCCCAGCACTATCATCAATATAACCCTATATTGACACTTAGCTTTAATTCAGTGTATTCTTATGAAGAGCTCACAGTTTATGAATGAGTGTTATACATACATTAAATGCTGGGAAAATAACTAGTAAGGTCACAATAGAAATAGAGGACTGTCAAAAATAAAGAGAATTTGTAAAGAATGTTAAAATTGTAACTATAGGTTCTCCACTAACAATAGGAATATATTATTTCTGTGTGCACAGAATGTGCTTTGGTTCAGGTAGAGAGGCAGAGAATATCTGAATTGTTCAATGTTTAAGATGTATTCAGCTCTAAGTCTGCCTTTGTGTTGACCTGGTAAATGTATAACAACTGGATTTCAAAAAGAGATAAGAAAAAAAACAGGAAGGAATGATGGGAGGAAAAGAAGAGATAGAAGAAGGAATTACGAGTAGGGCAGAAGGAAGGAGGGAGGGATGAGGGGAGGAAACAAGGGAGAAAAAAGGGAAAGAGGGAGGGAGGGAGGAAGGAAATGAGAAAAAAAGCCCTGTTTTGTAGTGTTTGCCAACCCACATGCTATAAATACTCCCAAGGATGGCCAGTTTTAATCAACCAGTTAGACATCATTAAAAGAAGAATTGGGCCAGGGATTTAGCCCAGAGGTTCCGTCGCCTGCCTTGCAAGCGCAAGGACCTGAGTTCGATCCCTGGTACCAAAAAAAAAAAAAAGAAGAATTGGGGAAAAGATGTAAATGATTGACTCTTGCATGATGGTACCATATGACTCCAGTGTCCCTGTTGACTGTAACTTCCCCTGCTTCCAAATCTGGTTGCTCAATGCTATAAGCTTGGGTTTTGTAGAAGTAAATATATGGAATGATAATTTTAGTCTCTCTTTTTTTCTCTCTGATATAGACATAGAATTAACACATATGAGGACAAGACTTTCTGCTAGATATTATGGATAATAGAAAAAGATGTAAGACAGTGCTTAAAGAATTTACTATCTGGGGCCGGGGATTTAGCGCAGTGGTTCTGCCACCTGCCTCGCAAGCTCAAGGACCCGAGTTGGATCCCCGGTACCAAAAAAAAAAAAAAGAATTTACTATCTGATTTGGTATATACAAACCACAAAATATTGAAATAATATAAGTAATAGTTTAGGCAAATACAAAAATATAAAGAAAGATAAGAGGTCCATGTAGACAATAATTATCTGATGAGAAAGGAGCTTGAAACAATTCTAAATGAAGGCTTTATGAAGAGACATATTGAGAAAACTTGATGGACATACGGCATTTGGATGTGTGCCATCTATTGAGAAGTCATGAGAATGAGACCGAATACATTTTAGCAAAAAATATGTAAACAAAGAGAGAGGAGCAAAGCATTTCTGTAGACATATTTTCATAACCATGGCTGATAGATACTGGACAGTTACTCTGTGCCGGACAGTGCACGACTTCATCTAGACTATCTCATTTGCTCTTCACTGATGCTGTATTCGTCAGGTTGCTGGGAGTTGAAATGAGACAGTATACTCTGCATGAAAGAGAACATAAGGCTTAGAGACATTAAGCCAGAGGCTGCAGTCACTTGGTTGGTAAACAGTAGAGCCGGAGCATAAATTTAGGTTTGCCTAGTCCCACATCCCAGCTGTGATCTTAAGCACATCACTAAATTGAGAAGCAAAGCTAGATATGTAATTCTTAGGGAAAGATCAAACTTTGAATATCAAGAGAAAAGAGACCAGATGTTGTCATGCAGGCTAATATACATCTCTCTTATTTTTGGTACCAGGGATCAAACTCAGGACCTTGTACTTGTCAGGCTGATGAGGTGGCACTGAGCTAAATCTCTGGCCCAGTGCAGGCTAATATATGGAAAATCTGTAATCAACCCTTAAAAACTTGATCAAAAAGTGGATTAGGGCTGGGGATTTAGCCCAGTGGTTCCATCGCCTGCCTCACAAGCGCAAGGACCTGAGTTCGATCCCCGGTACCAAAAAAAAAAAGTGGATGTCCTTTCCTCTTCTCCTATGATTATCTTCTCTCTTTTGATTTTGGAGCTCATGTATGGATAACTGGTACATAATGGGCACAAAGGACAATTAGTACAGAAGTTTAAGATAATGTTTTGTGAATTAGGGAAGTCTGTAATCAACTTTAAAAATTTTACCATGCTTAATCAGAATATACACAAAGATAAAGCTTCCCTATCAGGAAACTACGGCTTCTTCAAAACTTCTTCAAAACGTTTCTTGAATTGTGTTTATATAAAGTTAATAAAACAGGTTAAAATATCAAAGACCGACACTTTCCTTTTTATCTTCAGGATGCATATTAATAACAATTGAGCATTTATTTCTCATTGTGTTGACAAATTTTGCCACTGTACAAAGAGATTGGATTGTCTATCAGCTTTTTAATACTTTCTTTTTGTCCCCATAATCAGGAAGCGTTTTAAATGAATAGGTGTCTGGAGAAGAAAAGTACATTCTTTTAGATAAACAAAAATGTCTTGGCCTTTGCTCATTTATCCCAGGCAGCAAAGAAGAGAAACTATTAAATATTTAGTGATTCCTTCTTAACATAAAAAAACTGCTTATTCATTTAAGGAAAGTCTCTACAGTTTAAATGTAACTATTTCATATCCAAATCATTAAACATATTGACAAATAACTTTTTAGAAAATACTTATACTGCCTATGAATACCTTTAAAGTTCAGGGGAAGAAAGTTTTCTTTCTCTCTGAAAGAAAGCAAACAATGAAACTGCTTTGCAATTTATAGATAATAGAATGGGACAGTTTATATTCATTTTATATTCATTTTTTAAAAAATAATTCTTCCAAAGTTCTAATTTAATTTTTATTTCAAATAGTCTATAAGCATTTCTTTCTGTTTTTCTACACAGAAAAGGAATGATGAAAAGAAATTTTCATTTTGCAATGAGTGAATAGGCCAAATATTACAAAAGTTTGAGATAATGCCATATAAGTTGAGTAAGAATAACAACCTTAACTTGGAAAACCATTAAAAAAAAAAAACAAAGCACTACTGATTACTAAAATAAAAAAAAATACTTGAATTGTGTAAGGTTTCTTTGAGTCACTGGTTTTAAAACTTTCTTTTAGGTGCTGTGTATCTATTTCAGAAACCAATAGAAGATAGCTTCACAAAGATATCTTCACAAAGTTACAAATTTTAACTGTGCTAAAGAATGTGTTAACTTGTCTAAAAAGTTCACCTTTGGTTCTACTAAGGTCTTATTTTTACTTGGCATACCATCTTACATCTAATATTTTGATGCATTATCTATATTTAATTTCCCATTTATAAAAAAGTAAGTCAACCAACTTTTGTGTTTAGTATTTTTCTTTTTCCCAACTAAGTTCTTTTTTTTTTGGTACTGGGAATTGAACTGGGGTCCTTGCGCTTGCGAGACAGGCGGCAGAACCACTGAACTAAATCCCGGCCCCCAACTAAGTTCTTAAAACATTTCATTACAGAATATGTTTTTAAAATTCTAAAGAATCAAAATTTTAAAACAAGATGATTTCTTCACTGTCTTTCCTTTATATTATTTTGTTGATGGATTCTAGGATTTTTTGAAGCATAATTTTAAGCATGTAGTATGTAAAAATTTATACTAATCTCTAGTTTATGGGAAATGAAAAAAACTTTAATTTTAATGTTTCTGGCCATATAGTTTTATGATCTTTCTGGTTAGCTTTGCACTGGCTGCTGAGCAGAACTGTGGAGCTGACTTTTTAATAGTACAGGACAGAGGGGAAACAAGGAAACTTTTAGAATGATATCCAGGCATTAAGATTTTAAAAAGCAGAACAATTAAAGGATTTTCTCAAGCTTTATGTCTTAATCATAAAATCCAACAGCCAGAAGCTCTGGGGCTTAAAAAAAGCAAACAAAAAGCTGTTCTGACCATACTTGACAGACAGAGCGTCTTTAGTAAAACAAAGTTACATTTGTAACTCATTTTGCATTCACTTTTATTTATGTGCTCTAGTGACTAGAATAAAACAACTTACCTTTGATAGCAGTTACCCACCTACCACCTAATGTATCACTGAGGGTTCTGGCATGTGGATTCATCCTGTCTTATAACACCTACTATGTGAACTTCAGTCAGTAATCTTTGGGATAACTAATTCATGAGTGTGTGTGTGTGTGTGTGTGTGTGTGTGTGTGAGGCTGTTTCACAGTCCTGTGGACCAGGGGACTACCCTCTACCTCAAATAATCTATAGTGTAAATCAACTCTTGCCTATCTTACTTAACCTCTTCTCTCAAATATTTTTCTTTTCCTCCTTCCCCATTTCCAACCCATCCATCTGCATAGTTATGAGTGAGTCATTTCAAGGGAAGAGGAGGGGAGTCTTCAGACAGCTCATATCATATGAGTCTCCCCGTGTCTGTCTCTCTGGCCCTGTTCTCTCTTGGTGTCACAACACATCAGTGTTCTTAGTGGTAACAGACATAGATTACAGTCCCACTGGTTCGCCACTTCCTTCATGTTCAAGACAATGAGGCCTGTAAAAGCAATGACGGTTATTTGGGCAATTAAGTGGTTAGGCATTGCTAACTTAACTTTTTATTCCACTGATAGTACTGGTGAGTTTATAAAAGGCAATGAGCAACTGTTGCTCTTCCCAGCATTTTAGTATAGCAGTTTTCTGCCTTGCACAACCTACAAGAATATTTGGTCTTTTCAATTTCAAATAGCAATGCACTTTTATTTCTGCTTAAATCTTAAATTGGCTCCCACTCCACTGATTTCTCTTTTTTTAATACGGTCTTCTCATATGTGTGCTCCATAGACATATCGGAACAGGGACAGCAAGTACAGTTTCTTTTCTGAGATTGACATCTTCTGTTGATAAAGATACAAGTTAATTTGGTTGACAGAGAAGCACACATAGAGAAAAAACTTTCTTTGTGGAGATATAATGTGCCAATTCTACTTCTATTATTAGTTCGTTGAATAGTCTCAGTCAGATTCTGGAACCATTCTGCTTCTGTTTTCTCCTTTGTGAAAAAAAAAGAAAAAAACCCAACAAATTGGACAGACAATCTGTAGGTCAAAGGAATATTACAGAATAGTCCTAAAACACTCAAGATATTAAAAGAAGTAGCACTGAGCATGAAGGATGCTACTTGTTTCCAGAGAATGCATAGTGTAAACTACTAAATAGTATGAACTATTCATAGTTTGGATCATCCAAAGAATGTTCAGAATTTTTTGGAATACTAAAATGATGGTTGAGTACTTAGTATACAATAGAAAAGGTACAAATGTGTCCAGGTTAGACTAATCTCACAAAGGAATTAAGAAAAGCTCTTTTTACAATCTCACTAAATAAAAGGCACATTTTAAACAAAATGCATTTACATAAGATGACACACCTAATATGTCCATATTCTTTTGCTCATGGAAATATGTGCTTTCCAGTAAATAATGGTTTAAATATATGATCTAAATATGTGATATGGGACCATAAACAGGAATCTTATTAAAATATGCCCCAGAATTTATTGTTACACTTTAAAAAAACTTGGATATTAAACATTTTAACATTAAGAATATTAAGCTTTTGGGCCGGGGATTTAGCTCAGTGCTTCCGAGGCCTGCCTTGCAAGTACAAGGTCCCAAGTTTGATCCCCCGTACCAAAAAAAACCAAGAGTTTAAGCTGTTGATGCTAAGTGCTTTTACTGTGGTACTTCTTCCACATTTGTATTTGTATTTGGTAAGGGAGACCAAGGAGGAAAAAGATTTAATTTGCAAAATAGGATTGTGTCAGATCAAGACAGCAATTAATTCTAGCCATCTTGACTCTTCATGGAAAGGAGTTTCTTCTGAGTGTCTGAAGTGTAAATTTGGGAAGGACATAGCCTTAAAACTGATTTCAAAGGTAACCCAGTGTCCCAAACACAGTTTTATAAATCAGAATTAACATCTGGAAATTGTTTCTGAAAGCCAAATGGAAGTCCTTAAAACTCCTGGAGCCCAGTTGATGTCACCCTGTTACCAGTTTCCTGGGCATTCCAGCATTCTCACCAGTTAAAGTTTCCTCCTGGTAGCCTTGTGCAGTTATTCAGAGCAGCGGTACATAGGGCACCTCTCTATAATCCAACTGAGAAACTGGACTGCCAGAGATCATAGTGGCTGTAGTAATTTATTTTCAGAAACAAGACAAGGCTACCATTTAGGTCATTCACATGTTTCTGGCCTCTTTCTGGAAGAGAAACCAAATCCACACACCTGCTTGCACACGCAAGCTCACATCAAGTTCACTCCAATCCAAGTCAGCTTAATGATCTCTGAACAAGCCACTGATTTGGTTAGGTCTCAGGCTCAAGGTCAGAAACAGCAGGACAAGGATGAAAGAGAGGGAAGAATGGCATATTTTGGAATTCCTTTTTTTTTCTTTTTAATCCTGACACTTTTCAAGAGGAAGAAAATGATCACTAAGGGAGTAACAGGTGAATAAATTATGGAGATTTGGACAAAAAAGTTTGAATATTTATTGACCTTTGCCTCTGAATCATTAGGTGTTTTCTAGGTATGTGTGTGTGTGTGTATGTGTGTGTGTGTGTGCCTGCATGTGTGTAAATGTGTGATTATAATAGTCCAAGTGCCAAAATAAGTTAATATCATTGAACATTTGTTTATCTCTTACATGAGAAAATAGTAGGAAAACACAAATGAAAGAGATTTCTTGGACACCAGCTTGACAAGGCCACATTCATATTTCAAAGTTGATTAACACAATATCTCGCTGTAAGTTTAGTCTGCAGTAACTTGGAAAACTTTCAAAATGATTAAATGGTACAAAATAAATGGCTGCATTCTCCTGGCCACAAATTTTAAGCGATGTCGTAGGTTACCTAAAGAACCTCATCTATTCTTAAAGAATTTCCCAATTTTATCTTGGATTCCAAATTTAAAGGAATCATCTTTGCCTATTTTATGGGGGTTACTGACACTGCTGTCCTTTGCCAAGTGTAGTCAGTAAGTTCATTAGCTGAACCACAAATATGTAGCAATAGTCATGTTCTTCAGATTTAGAAAGCAAAAGAAGATAAGGGACTTACTGTAAAAACATTGCTGTTTTCCTATGAAATGAGAACCAAAAAGGCACTTTTCTAAGAGAAAAAAATAATTGGGACCTTTCACTCTGGGGCAGGACTTAGGCTTTTCCTAAATTCCCTCAGTAGGAAACACTGTCCATGGCACATTATGTACACTGTTAGGATGTTTTCAAGGTCTTTGCATTTATCTTTAGCTCTCACAGTTTTACTGCTATTTTGGGATACCCAGACAGGAAGAGGGATAATGATGAAGAAAGCCAAGTTCACAAAATCACTGAGACAATTTAACTTCATACATGGTTAAGCCCACATAAAATGAAATAATTTGCATGCTTCCTAGAACATGTATTTTCTCTAATTCCCAGCACTGACGCATTGTGTTCAGTTATGAACATTCTTTGGATCTCAATGTCCTCACCTGAAAAATAGGGATAATAGTATTAGTCATAGGACCAATGATGAGATGAAATCGTTTTTGACTTTGACTTTGCCAGTAAGTGAAATCCATCCACCTGCATTTCTTGTTTGAACAGCAGTGTTTTGTTAAAGAAGCACAAGGGATAAAAACTGTCTGAAATATTTTCAGAGCTTCTCAAGTATTATAAGCATAGTGTTTTATTTAAGCTAGATAAAAAAATCTGATGTTTCTTTTTACATAAAAATTATTGTCATAAAATTATTCTCTTTTCATCATGTTAAAAAAAATTTTTTGTGGGCCAGGGATTTAGCTTAGTGGTTCCACTGCCTGCCTTACGCTGCCTGCCTTGCAAGTGCAAGGTCCTGAGTTCAAAAAAAAAAAAAGATTTTGTTTTGTGACTCTTCCTTTTTCTGGTGAATTATTGACATTTAAGTAATCCTCATGTTAAGACTACACCATTTAAAGTGAAGCTTCTCTGGTGAGAGTGTAGACTGGTGCAACAACTGTGGAAATCAGTATGGAGATACCTCAAAGAACTGGGACTGAAAGTCCTAATTCCTCTGCGGGGTATCTTCCCCAAAGGATTAAAGGAATCATACCACAGTGATATATATGCAACCATGTTCATAGCAGCACAATTCGTGATAGCTGAAACTTGGAAACAACCCAATTGCCCATCAACTGGAGACTGGATAAAGAAGATGTGTTGTTTTTCTTTTTATAAAATGGAGTATTACTCAGCCATAAAGAATGAGAAACTAGAGACATTTATAGCTAAATGGATGCACATTGAGGCGATACTCTTAAGTGAAATAAATAGGACACACATGAATAAATACCGAATAGTTTCTCTGGTGTGAGAAACTGAAAGTGTAAATAAGGACTAAAAGGTATAATAGATAATGTGAAATAGGAAGAAAAGGTGCAAAGGGGAAGGGGAAATGGGAGGAGTAGGGGAAAAGAAAGGAGGGAATGGAATTAATATGAGGAAAAGAAAAAATGGAAAGTCTTTGTAGATATGGTGGAGGGGTTGAAGGGAGGGCAGGGGAATGGGGAAAAAATAAGAACCAAGATGGATTATGTAAAGGTGCAAATTTCTAATGATGAATGTCATTATATTGTATACCTAAAATGTACCAATATAGTTAATAAAAAAAAGTGAAGCTTCTACTCTGGCACTTATAATTTTTCTAACTCTGATTTTATATTTTCCTGTAGCACTTCTTTTTCAATGTACTTTATAATTTATTAACTGAGTACATTAATTATTTTATATTTTCCCATTGGAATATAATCTTCAAAGAGTTCACAGATTTCTATTTTGTTTAATGCTATATCCCCAGTGTCTAGAACATCTGCTAACACAGAATATTAGTTAATTGGTTCCAATGAATAAATGAGGTGCATTTGGATTTTAGCTCCCACTCAATTTCCACAGGTCCAACCAACCTTCCTCCCTCTCCTTTCACCTTACCTCCCCCCTTCAATTCTCAGCTTCCAGTTTTTCTAGGCTCTGTCCTTCCCACTGAGACCTGAAACTTGAGTTTGATATGTTCTTCTGGCTATTCTCTAAACAAATGCTACCATAATCAGGTGATCCTAAAGAGGAATTGTGGGTGCACAATCAGTAAGTGCAAGATGGCTGCCAATGTTTTGTATGGAGCCATACGTGTGAATACTGGAATTGATGGTTCCTGGGACAGTATGTTACAAAGGGCCCTTCTGGCATCAGATCATCATTCAGCAAAGAATAGCACACATACCAATTGATGTCATTATGTAGTCTTTTGATCTTCCAATTCATTTCAGATGTGGCTTAAAGTAATATTACATCCAGCGTTCATTTCCCTGTTAGATAATTCATTCATTTGATCTTCCAAAGAAGCAGATGGTGAATAGGGGAGAAGACAGGGGAAAGGAAAGGAAAGAAGGAAGTGAGAAGGGGGAAATAATTTTGACATTAAGGTATCTGTACTGTGATTTTATCTCTTAAAAACTTAAAGTGAACATTTTGGTTTTCTATGTGAAAATTCAAACTAGTTAATGTCATTAAATTGGTATAAATACCATGATTGAACTAAAGTGTGGTGTTTTTTTTTTTTTTTTTGCAAAGACACTTCTTTATGTTTCACTTGATGAACATGAATGAGCACCTTCCAAGTACTTCCAAGTACCTTCCAACTACTAGGCCTAATGCTATAGCAGGAGAGGGTGACAGATTAATGAGAACTACCATTTATATGACAATATGAAGTGCTTATTTTTCATAATTTCCCTTAAACTTCACAAAGCTCTTCAATGTAAACATTCTGTTCACTTTCCAAGTAAAATAATAGAAGATTTAGAAAAGTAATGTTTGCAAAATTACAAAACCTGCATGTGGCAGAACAATTATTCACCCCAGTGGCACTAAACCTATGCTATTTTGACTAAGCAACTTTCAAGGTATTCACAGCAGTTTCCTTATTTGCTCAATTTCTCTCTCTCTCTGTCTCTCTCTCTCTGCCTCTCCCTCCCTTCCTCCTTCTCTCCCTCCTTCCCTCCCTTCTCCCTTCTGCCCACCCTCTCTCCTTCCCTCTGTCCTAGAATATTAAGGATAATGCAATACATATATAAAAGAGAGGCAAATATTGTCCTTTATTTGATGGCTTTGACCATGTCAGTTTGGAGGACTTCATTGGATGCTGTCATTCACAAGTACTTCACATTGTAGCCAATACAATACACATGTATTGACAACTGTCCACTATAGCTTGTGCACATGCTAAGTACTATTCACACATACACACACACTCACACACACACACACCCCTAAATCCTCACCTTAATCTCAAGTCTTAGTTTTGTGTGTAAGAAAGTGATATATCCAACATGGTTATGGTATTGGCCAAATATACAGTTCTTTTGAAAGTGTACAAGAAAAAAACCTAAGGAAGCTACAGCTCTTGGCTAAAATGCTAGAAACCTATAGTGAAAGAAAAATGGGGCTTAAGTAATACAATAACCTTTACTTGAAGAGAAATATATTCCATTCTCTTCCCATTCTTTCCTTTTCAAAACATTATTTTGAGGCTCTGTTTCCTTTTCTACATTCATATTTTGCATCTATTAGGAAAATATGTATATATTATATTTAATATATTATATATAATTATATACAATATATTATATATATTTAGAGCTTACAGTTGAAAATTGAATAACAAGGATATGAAAAACAATTATTTAAAACTACGAATTTCTACAACCCTTGGAAAAAAGTCACTGTATAACTACATAAAGCATGGATGGTGACTATGTTACAGTCATTTCAGTATGGCAAATTATTACATACTTCAAATTATAATCTGATTGGGGAAATCTTGAATAATCTGTAAATACTAGGAACAAATACTGCATTTGAAACAATGTCAATTTAAAATACTAGGAACAAATATTGCATTTGAAACAATGTTAATTTAAATATCTTATAATTTTAGAGAAATGTGAAAAAATGTATATCTTAAAATTACTAGGAACAAATACTGCATTTGAAACAATGTCAGTTTAAATATCTTATAATGTATATCTTAAAATTAGTAAAGTAGGGCATGTATTAGGCAAAGCACTTCAGTAAAAGAGAACTAACAGGATATATAGAGATGGAGGGAGTGAGGGAGGGAGGGAGAGAGAAAGGGGGAGGGATTTATTTTAAGAATTGGCCTATGTGATTATGGAGGCTGGCAAGTCCAATCTCTGCAGTACAGACTAGCTAGAGTTCAGGAAGAGCTGCAGTTCAAGGAGGTCAATCTTTTTCTGTTAAAGCCTTCAATCGATTGGATGAGGCCCACTCATGTAATGGAGGGTAACCTGCTTTATTCAGAGTGTCCTGATTAAAATGTTAATCTCATCTACAATTTAAATTTTTTTAAAATTTTCTTCCCAGAACCATCTAGAATGTTTGGCCAAGTGTCTGGGTACTATGACCCAAAAAGTTGACACATGAAGTTTATCATCACAGTGTGAATGAGAAAATGGGAAAAGAGTCTATTTATTGTCTGCAATGTTCATAAAAGAAATTAACCATACACAGAGTCCAGAGATGAGACAGGGCAGAGTAGCACTTTGCTTTGTCACTCAGGCTCCTATGACGGCTGGGCTTCATAGTCCCTGATTTCTTCAGATCCTTCCTTCAGAAACTTAATACACCAAACTTTTCACTTAGAGCCTATCTCTATTGTGGTGTTTAGGAGAAAGTCCTTTTCTCTGCATGACTGAAATTTATGTTTGCCTAACTGGATATAGGCCAGACACCCAAGGGTGGAGTGGGAGGTAGAGAGAAAAACACATATTCTTCAAATAAGGAAATATCTGCACAGTACTTTTCCCCTAAGTTTCAGTTTACATGTTCTTAGTTGGAACTCCTGTAAGCAGACAGGTGAAGACTGGAGAAGAGGAGAGAGAGGGAGGGAGGGAGAGAGAGAGGGAGAGAGAGAGAGAGAGAGAAATAGTGGTGACAGAGCAGCTCAGGCTCAGTGCTGCCTTCCCTGTCAGATGACACTATCCCTAACCACAGATCTCCCTCTCCACTGCCATACCTCTGTCAAGCTCTCCTGGAGTCAAAGCTCTCACCCCCTATCTAATGCTCATAGGTCGATCCTTGCAAACACTAATTCCCAGTTAAACATTACTTACATTCAATATCTTTCCCTCCGACCTATTGCACAATCGTCAAACCACTGACTTACTCTTGCTTTATTATAAGTGTACATGTTTTGCTTAAAATTATGGACTTTGGAGTCATGGAATCTCTGTATCACTGCTTATGTGACTCTGGCCTTGGTTATCTTCTCTGTAGAATTGGGATGTTAACAGTACTTTTGTGATATGTTATCTGGGAAGACTAAAAGAAGCAGCATAAGAAAAATTCTTAGTTTGGTGTCTGGCAATAAATGAATGTTCAGTAGTATTTAGGTATCATTATCTATCTGACACTGTTGTCTTTATGAGATTGTGATTTTATTGTCTGCAAGCTGGATAGGTACACAGAATACAAAGATAAAGCAAGGGACTATTTCCTTGGACAATTGAAGCAACATCATGATGTGCTTCTGTAGGGTGGTTAATCCCAGCCATTTGTATGTCTGCCTTGTGAGAGTTAGAATATGGATAGAATGATAACCCTGGTAGTCTCTTGGCCTAATATGGTTTGCAGACAGGTTTTGTTTGGACAAGCTGGGTTTGGGGTTTTGATTTTGTTTCTCTAAAGTAGCATGTCTTGAGGCAGAGCCTGTGCTCTTCCCAGCTACATACCATTGTCTTATAACCACTGTGTCATGCATTCCTACAGATTTACCTATCTGTCTGCCCCACTGCCAGTATTTGCCCCACAGTGGCAAAAATTCAATGTGGACTGTCCTTTTTGTATCATCCACTTCTCAGGCTGAAGTCAGGTCCAGCCCATCCTATTGAAACCTGTTGAAGTTCTCATAAGATGTGGATACAGGGCTTTGAAAACTTCTGTGTATGTGTTCCAGGATCTTGTCACACCTCCTTCTCCAGCCAGTTTTAGCCACGGCCTACCTTCCCGTCTCATTTCCTCTTGAGAGACACATAACCCCATAATTCTTTATGAGGTGCTGTGGGAGTGGAGGTCTCTGCCTTCTATAGCTTCTCCTGGCTGTAAGGGGCTAAAATCCCCTTCCTACTGGGAATTATGTGCTCTCCAACTACCTTGAGGTGTTGTGGCTCACTACTTTGTTGAAGAGAAAAACTGTGAGAAGATAATTAGAAAGGATTAGTGAGTATTGAGCTGTTTGATAGAAGAAAGAAAGTAACTATTATGTTGGAGATGTAGAACCCAAATATGAGGAGCTTCTTGTGGAGGACAAAGTATAGCAAAGAGAGAGGTTAGATAAATTATTGAGAGGCTGAGAGTCATATCCTTAGCAAGATTATCCACAAATGGATTTAATTAAAAATGAGCATCTCAATACAGGTGCCATTTAAACTGTGGTGAATTAGGGTCATTAGTGACCTTTAGTAAGAGTCTTGCTTTTTGAAGAGGACCCTCAGAGATTTCAGAGATTCTCAGGAATAGCATTCTTATTCCTGCAAAAATTCTAGTGAGTATTTCCCATGTAAGGTTTTTACAGCTTGTCATTGCATCTCTTGAGGTGGGACCAGAATGGTTTCTCAGGAACTGCCTCAAGGCTAGGGTTATGGGGCTGTAGGGCTCCCTTTTTTCCTAGCCAGGGTGTTATGGTTTGTGTTTAGATGTCCCCCCAAAGCCTCATGTGGTTTTAGGTGGGGCTTTTTCAGACAAAGCTGAATCTAAAGTGTAATGCTCAGCCTGAGGGCACTAGGATTAAGGGTGTGAGTGCTACATGCTCTAAGCAGTCTGAATAAAATAAAATGGGCAGAAAGATCTGTTAAGGTCTCTTGTTGCTTTTGCTACATTTTGGAACCATGAACTATTGTTTTCCTTTGATATGTCCCTCTGCCATGTGCCATTCTCCCTTGGAGCCAGCCCACTATGGACTGAAACCTCCATAAACTGAGCTAAATAAACCTTTTCCCCTTTGACTTTGGATATCAGGTATTTTGTCTCAGCAATGAAAGAAAATTAATACACAAGGAGTAGGACAAAATAGGACAATTAGAAACACATGGCTAAAAATTTGGCACAAAGTGATATATCCAATCAGAAGTAAAGAATCTCTGACTACGGGTCGCCTTGACCCCAAATTGTGGCCATAGATCTAGAGGAAGGTTTTCCACAGAAGTCAAAACAGAATATATTGAATTGGTTTACCAATAATGTCCAGCATTACCCAGGGTTCCTCTCAGAAAACGGTGATATCTACGGACAGGGGTATTGTAGGTTCCCTAAGGCCACTTCGGAGCAGGAAGTGAGGGGTTTGGCTGTCCTAGGCCCTCCCTGGGAGCAGGAACAGTCAACTCTCCAGTGCCATGAGTCAGGCATTTGGCTGCCTCACACTTGGAGCAGGGCCCAGGCAGTGGCTTGGTATAGTTCTGCACCCAATGTCCAGACTTCTTGCACTTGATCAGCCTTGGGTTTTCCCTTAGACAATTTAGATGAGTTTAAAGCATTGCCAATTGCAACAGCTATAATTCTAGCTTTTCTCTTCTGACCTTCTTCCAGATCCTGATTGTTGAACACAGAAAAGGCCGTGTCCAGCAATTGAGTCATAGGTATCTTGGGTCGTACCTGAAGTTTCTTCATTAAACCGATGGGAGAGACCCATCTTTCCCTAGGAGACACGTGGGGAATTCGAAGACAGGATCTGCAAAGATATCTCTGTCTTCCTCTAGGGGCACTCTAAATATCGTATTTTCTGGGCTTTTCCCTAGATAAAAGGTCCTAAAAGCTTGGACAAATTCATTCCACCTCCTATGTTTTAAGTAGAAATAATTTAACTGAAAAATAGTCTTATAATTTAAAGTGCCATCCCATACCATCTCTCATTTCCTAGTTCATATTGAACACAAACTGTACTGCAGTAGTAGCTAAGCTATTCCTTTTTTAAATTGGCAGGGTCAATCCTCTCTCATTGATCAAGGATATGGCCTAATAGTGAAGTTGGTGTAATCTGTAGGCTGTGGTCTGTGAGGTTTCCCATGGCTTGTCTTAGGATCTATACAGAGAGATAACTAGGTCTCAGGTCCTTATGATGATGTCCCATGCAGAAGTAGGAGACCTGATTTGAGTGCATAAAGTGTCCCTTGTGAGACTCAAGTGTGAGACCAAAGCGACTCCATTTTGCTAAAATCCACTATTCCCCCCTAGTCTCTATTGTCCTCACAAATTAATGGTTAAAATGTGCTTGCTCTGGGACAAAAGACACAATCTGTAACGAAGCAAAGTTCCTAAGTTAATTACTCAACCATCTGTTTGCCCAGGAAATGAACGTTCTGGGTCCACTATCTATAGAACAATCTGTCAATGTGCTGACCATCAGTACATGGCAGTTGACCACTAACCTTTGTCCCTCTTTTCTCCCGTAAAATCTACATGTAACCATCCCTCAAACCCCCGATGGGCCTAGCCAATCAGAAATATACACTTCATGCTTGCAAAATGCCAACCAATCATGTAACTGCTAAGTGAAAAATCTCCAAACCTTGCTGTAACCACAATAAAAACCCCGCTAATTTGAAATTCGGGGCTCTCAATTCTGATCCGCTGCGTCTGTGACGGTTGGGAGCCCCTGCTCGAGCTTGAATAAACGGCCCTCGTGTGCTTACATCGGAATCGGCTTCCTGGTGGTCTTTGGGACTTCCCGATCTGGGCATAACACAAGTATTTAGTAGATAGATGTTGCTATAATTTGCGTTTAAATGTCCCCCCCGCCCCCCCACAAAGCCTCATTCGGATGAGGTGGAACTTTCTTTTTCAAAGGTAGTTGAATCTGGAATGTGTGATGCTGGGGTTAAGGGTATATGATTACTAAACCATTACATGTAAGTGATTAGTTTGGGACTGCCTTAATCCCGGTAGTCTGGATGGGATAAAAGAGGCAGAAAGACTCAGTGAAGGCCTCTTGTTGCCTTTGCTATCTTGTACGTTCCATGTTGTTTCTCTTTACAATGTCTGTTGGTCATTCCTTTCTTGGAGCCAGCTGACTATGGGCTGAAACCTCTACAAACTGTAAGCCAAATAAACCCCTTGTGGAGAACACCTTGAAATAAGATGGAATTGTATAACCCTAAGTGTGCTGTAACCCTAAAGTGTGCTGTGACTTTAAGAGTGCTGTAACCTAAGTATAACACAATCATAAGAGTGATGTGTAACCATAAGATATGAAAGTAGAACTTTAAGCGGTATGGAACTGATAAGGGTGTGCCCTGAGCTGGACAGGGTGTACCCCGAACTGGACAGGGTGTGCCCCGAAATGGACAGTGTGATAAGCCTGAACCAATACCACAAACGCCCAGTTAGAATAGTGTAAAAGGAGCTGAAGACCCCAAGCAAGTCGACGATCCGTCCACCGACCAGTCGGCCAGTCAGTCTGCTGATCTGACTACCGACTGAGACATCTGCACACCTGATCCCGATGGAAGGAGCATCACCACTGACCAGACGAGACCAGAGGACGAGGCAAGCGGAGAGACGGACAGCCTAGCGCCGACTCGACGCCCTTTGTCTACGGATCGGACCCTCTGACCCTGCGGGAGGAAACGTCGCGCTCCCATTAAGGACTTGCGCAGTGCAGGTACAGGGACGTGGTAATTGGCAGACTTAATATTGTGTGGTAATTGTATTGAAATGAATTATGATAATATAAGATAAGTGTGTGAATTGCCATCCGAGTCTGAGTCCTCTTTACCCACGGTACCTGCTCGCAACACCCCTTTCCTTCTAACTTTTGGTGTTGAGTATTTTGTCTCAGCAACAAGAGAAAAGTAACTAATACAGATGTCTCTGAAGTTAGGGTGATGCTAGCTAGCATCTTTCACAGAAGCATACAGGAAAGCCCTAGGGCCTTTTGTCTTTATATGGGCGCTCATTAACTCCTTAGGGAGAGAAGTATTGAGTCACTTGATGGCTCTATTAGCACTTTGAAAGTCCCGTGAGATCATGGGGAGTTCCTCCCCACTGGGATTCCCTTAGGCTTTTTGAGCTTTTTGAGCCATTACTTAAGCAGAATAGAGCCACTTGAGAAACAATATCTCTTCCATTTACCTGGATAGTAAAAACTTTGATACTTTGTTTAAAAGAGTAGAGATAGAAACCTCTTTTTAAAAATACTACACATTTAACAATTATATGAATGAGGAAGGCTCTACCTTTGATTCATGGTCACTTGAATTAAGCTTTACTGGCTGTTTTTTGTTCTGCTCAAGGTACCAGGCATACATTTCTAAATTACCTGCATTTTGTTAGAAGAAACAAGGAAGGGAAACAAACATGGTGGAATGCACCTGGATGATACCAAACAGGTCACGTGACAAACAAGATGGTGGCCAGTCATGTGATGAGACAAAATGATGACCCTGACTAAAATAGCACTATGAGAAAGAAATGGTCATCTAGGAGAAAAGTGCAGATGAGACTTTGAGCACAAAAAAGAGTAAACTGGGGTAGGTAGCTACTCAGGCAGGCTAAGTTACCAACACCTGTTTTCTCCCAAGAGAGTGAGAAAGCTGAGCAAAGTATCATGGAGAATAGCAACATGAGGTCAAATAGACATAGTAAACTCTAGGCCACACACATGGTACCTAAATGATCTATTCTGAAACTAGATTAATAATAGGCTCTCTGGCTGTTTTTTACTGACTTGTATCCACAATGAGTGATGAGAAACAAGAAAGAGAAGGAAAAAGGAGAAGATAAACTCAAGGCAGACCTATGGACTTCTCACTGGCTGGGAAGAACACAGAGGCCATGTACTTCCTCTCCCTTTCCATATGATGGGAAAAGCAGGAAACAACAGTTCCATGTACCGTGAAAAGAGTCTCCTGAGTTCCCCAGTGTAGGGGAGAGAAAGAAGAAAAAATACCTTTATGGCATTCTAGAGAGAAATATAAAAAAATGTGCCCAGAGGTCCTTACCTGCTGCTCCTGACTGGTTAAGCCAAGTCTGTTACTGGATTTTGGGATGCTGGAGTCTCTTTCTGGAGGTAGTTTCTAGGTTCTTTCTGTCTGGGGCAAAGAATTAGTCAAGGCAAGCACAAATAGTAGCAAAGTTTTATTAAAGGTAGAAAAAGAAACAGGCTTTGTAGAGCAAGTTTGGGCCAAGTAAAAGTAAAAAAAGAAGTACACCCTACACCATGAAGTACCATTGCAAGAGAGAACACAGTGGCCCTGCCATTTTATACTTTCCTGATCCAGTTCTTTTAAGTAATGGACAGGGCTGTGTGAAATGATCTAATTTTGGCTTTCCCACAAGTTTCATTTTCTTCATGCAGTGCCTCTGTCATCTGGCATCAGTATCTCTGTTGGGCAGCATTGCTTATGTAGATGTTGAAGCTTCTCCTGGTCACACTGGTGTTACCCCTCTCTGTCAGGCACAGGCACACTACCTCCACCTACATTGCTGGTTTATCAAGCTGCTCAACTCTTCTACTCACTAAAACTTGACCATTCTCTCAGCAGAACTGGAGTAATCGGGGATGGGGATTTACCTCAGTGGCACCACACCAGGCTCACAAGAACAAGGTCCTGAGTTCAATCCCCAGTACCGAAAAAAAAAAAGAACTGGAGTAATCACTACCCACCACTGCACTGTTATGTTGCATGCTGACACATCTACATCACCAGATCATTTCCGAAGCTTCAATGTCTTACAAAGTTCCCCAGTTTTTTTCAAAATACCTCTGCTTCCTAGCCCTTAGCTATTCATATGTGATGTTAGAGCCAAAGAAAAAAATGTCACGCATCATTAGAATTGCTATGATCCTTAGATTCAGAGGGTTAGTTTCAGCATCAAGTTTATTGATTCTTCCTTTACAGGGGTACTCTTTGAATTAATTAGTTCTGGGGCCAATTCTGCCAGATCTCCCAACATAGTACACATATGTGTAACGCAGTACTCCCAAAAAGTCAGATACAAATTCTTTTATAGGCTGGAAAAATCAATTAAAATAAGCTCTACTTGAATAGAAACTTCCCATTCTCCTTTAAGTAGATTCCCTTGATCTGGAAAGAGCCACTTCAGTGGCATGTTTTAGTTACAGATGGACATAAAGCAGTTACTCAATCCTGTTCTGGAAGAACATAATGGGATTTGTGATTGAACTGGGGCCTACTCCAGCTCTAAAGGCTAATATTGTCCCCATGGGTTCCACTGAGCTCAGTGCTCTTTAAGGTTTGGATGCTATGGCACATATATTTGGAGATATACCTGCTACATGGGGGGTTATGGGATAGGAACATTTCAAATCCAAGTTCATTCACTTTGTCATTCAAACATTTTTTCTCTTCTTCTGATTTTTTTTTTTTTTTTTTTGGTACCGGGGATCGAACTCGGGTCCTTGCACTTGTGCAGCAGGTGGCGAAACCACTGAGCTAAATCCCCGGCCTTGTCATTCAAAGTTTTAAAAACAGATTCAAAAGATAGTAAAGGCTGTAGCCATTACTGAGATGAGATCACCAGAAAAGACTCATGAGCTCCTCTGGAATTGAAATTACAAGAAATACCCCAGGGGATCTGGAGAGAGATGGATCTATACTGGGCTTTTAGATTGCACCCAGAGTATGAGTTTTAGGATAAGAGACAGATTCTAGGACATCCTGACTGATACAGAGATCTATAATCCACCCATGGGTTGAGTGGCTTCCTGTGCTTTGGGGGAAATGACTGCCTTTGAATGGCAGGAAATGGCTGACACTAGGCACTGTGCACTTGGCAGCTAGACCAAATTTGAATACAAGCTTAACACTGGGGGAAGGAATGTCTCCCTTCCCCCTGAGGAATTCTGTGTCTTTGTAAAGTAGAAGCACAGTGCTGAATAGAATTTGTAGTGGAGTTTCTTGGTTTGAGCAATTATGTTGGACTTCACTGACAATAGAGTGAGATGAGACATATTTTCCCCAAGCACTCCATGATGCACATGGTGATAGCTTCTGTTACAAGTGCCAGTATTGTTCAGCTTCACACCAAGACAGTGGTGGCTTTCAAGACCTTTAAACTCAGTACCATTAAAGAGTAAGTGTGGTTGTTAACCTTAACTGGCTCAACTTGATTGGCTTTAGAAACACTCAGGGGATTAGTGAAGCACATTTTTGGGTGTGTTTGGGTGGGCCATGGAGGCCTGACTTTGGATACTACCTATGGTTCCTCTACTCTTCCTTTCTGGTACTGTTCCCCTGTTCTGCTTCCTGGTTGCCATGAACTAAGTATGCATTTTGCTCCACCACACTCTTCTACCTCATGTTCCTCCCTTGGAGCCAGCTGACCATGGATTGAATCCTCTGAGACTATGAGCTAAACTAATCCTCTCCTCCTTAAATTGTGGGTGTTTGGTATCACATCCACCAATGGGAAAGTTAACTAATACAGTAAGATGTTACAGCAGCATTATTCACAATAACCAAAAGGCAGAAACAACCAAAGTGTTCAACAGATGAATGGATAATCTGTGATATGCACATATGATGGAATATTATTTAGCCTTAAAAAATGAAACCTTGGTATATGTTACCACATGAATTAACTTTGAAAACATGCTAGATAAATAAAATGCTATAAATAAAATGAAGCAATCACAAAATAACAAATACTATATGATTCTGTTTATATGAAATACCTAAAGAAGTTAAAGAAAGTAGAGCACTGATTATCAGAGACTATGAGGTGCAGGAAATATTAGTGAATAGGTACAGAATCTGTTTGTGATGATAAAAATGTTCTGAAAATAGTGGAGATGGTTGGAAATAATGTGAGTATACTTAAAACCATTGAGCTGTATACTTTGAGTGGTTAAAATGATCAATTTTATATTATTCATAATTTACTAACAAATAAAAGTAAAAAAATAAAACCTAAAGGACTAAAAGTTGGGTTGATGAATATCTGTATTTATTGCTACTGTATTTGGATCATAGGGGAGATAGAAATAAATGTAATTAAATTTGAATTTCAATAAAAAGTCTGATACACAAATGTACAAATATTAATGGGGCATCATTTGAGAGATTTCATAAAGCCTTTAAATTTTTTATTTTAGATGGGTCCTTATCTATCTACCTTTTCAACTATCCTCAGACCTAAGGAAGGATTAAAATCTAAACACATATTAGGAAGACTGTGGAATAAATTCTCCAACATATTATACAAATGCTACTATGTGGAACTTACAGGCTGCTTCTACATTCAATTCTCATTCAGCCCCAACACGGACTGCTGCCTAGTCCTCATACTCTACTTGGCATGTGAGTCATCTGGGAGTTTGTTAAAATGCAGCTTCTGATTCAAAAAGACTGGAGAGGAACCTCAGATTCTGCAATTCTAACAGCTCCCAGCTGAAAATTCCAGTCTGAGAAGCACTGTTTGGGCAGCAAGGCCTCCAGTCATCTTCACTTCTATATCTGGGGTGTGTGTGTCTCTCAATAGAATGCAAACTATTTCAGAGGGCTGAATCCAGGACTCACAACTGTGTATCTCTGCCAGCCTCTAGCATAATGCTTATGCAAAATTTCAAGCTTAGTAATACCGGTAATAATGATTAAATTCAAATCACAAAATGTAAGCAGCAGCAAATACATAAGAAAAGGGGGAAGAAAATAACAATTAGAAAATAACAATAGAAAATTATGAAAATATTTCAAATATAGACTTTGTTAAATAAGAGAAATTGGTTTTACAATATTTTAATGCTCTGATGATCTTCAGAAAATGTGTAACACTCAAGAAAGTAGGGAAAGTACAGATGATTATTTTAACAATTTTAGTGGAATTTCAGCTTTCAAATTTCAAAGAGGTGTATCTCATTGCATATAAGAAAATAGAATTGGGCCGGGAATTTAGCTCAGTGGTTTCGTCGCCTGTTGCGCAAGCGCAAGGACCCGAGTTCGATCCCCGGTACCAAAAAAAAAAAAAAAGAAAATGGAACTAATTATTGACTAGTTACATTCATTTCTAAGGATTCTGCATGTGCACCATATAATTTCACTTTATTTTAGCAAAGTGCTTTGTCTTTAATCAACCATATTCCCCAGGATGAGTATTCTTCTTTAAAATTAGACTATAAAATAGGCCTCAGGAAGTAAATCCCGTATCAGAGTGCAAGAAAGGAAGTTTATGCCATGAAAACTAATCATGAGTAGAACTGATCTTTGCTGATGTATGAAATGAATTTGGTGTATGCCAAATAATAAGGTTGTCAAAGTGAAAAATAATATATTGGAGTAGGGTGTGAATTTTACATTTGAACAAATTCTGGTTTTTAAGTATGGAAACACACATTCTATCCTGTGTTGCTAATTCTTCTGAGGTTGCAACTTATTCTTTTATTATTCAGTGGGCAGACTTATTTCCCAACAGGTGCTAGACTCCTCTTGAGATGCTTGCTTTTTCCTTTGCTCTGATCTCTTCCAATTTCTGTGCCACATACCATAAAGAATGATATTAATCCTGATACAGTTCTCCCTCAGGCACTCCTAACAAAGAAAAGGGAAGTAGATGCCCTCATTCATCTTGGTGATTACCACATGCAGAATGTGCAGCCTGGCCCAGCAACTGAGAACAGACCTAGTTGGTTGGGTTCCCCATTTGACAGTTTATTATACTTTGCTCTCTGTAAACTGGAAACTACAAGTTGGATGGCAATGTCTCAGCTTCTGAATTGAATATATAATTTAATTTTTAATCTTATGTTCTTCATTTCAAAAATTTAAAAAAACAAGTATGTGCTGATTTTCTAACATGAATAAGTTCTTTAAACTAGTTTGAGAATTGACCTGGCTTCAGCCTTTAATACATATGAATTCTTAAACACTGGTTTCTTTAATCTGCTTGTACTCATCTCCCTCTCTCACTATTTTTATTGCAAGGCTTTGAAGTCTCTTGTTCCAAATTACATGAAACATTGATTAGCCTCATGGATTTATTTAAGTGCTTTTTGTTATTAGATATTTTAGAGAGACAGAGGCAGAAGGGCAGTCTTCTGTAATTATTCAGGATTGCCTGGTTCTGTTGCTACAGTGTCAGTGAATTGCTTCCCAGTAGGAGATTTAATAGAAAACATTCAATTTAAAAATGGTCTGGGTGCCTCAAAGGGATTAAGCTTTAATTCTTTTAATCCTTGTAACTCAAACAAAGAGAAAATTTTCCTGAGCAATGAACTGCATAATGTGTTTGTAGGTCAGCAAGTGATAATCATGTCACCTAAATAGCCAAATCTTCAGCCCCTCCAGCTTCAGCCAGAGCAGCTTTTCTCATACTTTTTCTTTTCCCTTCTTTCCTTTCCCCTTCCCCTCCCACTTCCCCTATTCCTTTAGACCTTTTCTTCCTATTTCACAATATGAACTATATATTTTGATCCTTATTTACACTTTCAGTTTCTCACACTAGAGAAACTATTAGGTATTTATGCACGTTTTTCCTATTTATTTCACTTAAGAGTATGGCCTCAATGTGCATCCATTTAGCTATAAATGCCTCTAGTTTCTCATTCTTTATGGCTGAGTAGTACTCCATTTTATAAAAAAAAGCACATCTTCTTTATCCAATCTCCAGTTGATGGGCAATTGGGCTATTTCCAAGTTTTAGCTATTACAAACTGTGCTGCTATAAACATGGGTGTGCATATATCGCTGTGGTATGATTCTTTTAATTCTTTTGGGAAGATACCCAGCAGAGGAATGGCTGGGTTAAATGGGACCTCTAATTCTAGTTTTTTGAGGTATCTCCATATTGATTTACACAGTGGTTTCACCAGTCTGCACTCCTACCCGAGCAGCTTTTAAGCTCTGAGGTTTGAGTAAAACTATTATGGGTGTTATTTTGGAAAGTTCTGGTTTTCAGAACTCCCAAACTCTCAAAGATACTAGGTGACAATGATGTGGCACATAAGTCATGGCTTTCAGCAATCCAGGGCCCATGACAGATACTGTTCTTTTACCACAACACTCTTTCCTGTGAAAAATGCAATTGAATTCAATCTATTTGCCATCCTTCTTCCAGGTCTTTTAACTTAATGAAAATTATTTAATCTTTATAATCAAATTTCTCAGTTCCCAAACATTTGGTACAGGATTTAAGTAGGATTTAGATAGAATTAAAACTATGTATATTTCAAATAACTTGTGTTTATTTATTGTGGTTGCTGATAGATGTTTTTAAAAAATCAACCTTTTTGTTTTGAAAAAAATCACAGGTTCATGTGCAATTGTTAAGACATAGTACACAGATATCCTATGTGTCCATTTTCCAGTGTCCCTTAATGGCAGCATCTTGCATAATGGAGATTACAAAACGACAGCCACAACAATGAAGTTAATACAGTCAAGATATAAAACAGTACCATCACCACAAGGATCTCTCTGGTTTCCCTTTACAGCCATAGCTATTTCTCAGCTGGCTTCATTCTTTGTCATTTTAAGATTGTTGTCTGGTAGTTCCCCACTTGCCCCATCTGCAGTTTTGCTTTCTGTGGTTTTAGCTACCCATGGTCAATTATGGTCTGAGATTATTAAATGAAAAATTCAGAAATAAACTCTTCGTAAGTTTTAAATTATATGCTGTTTTAAATAGTGTGATAAAATCTCATAAATCATACTTTGTCCAGCTAGTCCACACTGTATATGGTGCTCATCTGTTTCTCATTTAAGTAGTCATCTTGGCTATCAGGTCAACTACAGAGGAAGTGTAATGCTTGTATTCCAGTAACCCTTATTTTACTTAATAATGGCCCTAACACACAAGAGTAATAGGTGCTGGCTATTTGGATACGCTGAAAAGAAGCCAGATCGCATTTTCTTTAAGTGAAAAGGCAGAAGTTCTCTATGTAACAAGGAAAAAAAAAATCACATATTAAGGTTTCTAAGATCAATGATAAAAATGAATCTTTCATCCATGGAATCATGAAGAAAAAAGAAACGTATGCTAGTTTTGTTTTTGCACCTCAAACTGCAAGTCATGGCCATAGTGTGGGATAAGTGCTTAGTTAAAATGGAAGAAACTTTAAATGTGTGGAACAGAAAAATTAACAGAAAGCATTTCCCAATTGTGGCAATAAATGGTGCCAGAAATCATTAAGATTATATGAAGACTTAAGCAAGGAGACCCCTGAAACTAATAACACAAAGTCATTGCAAGCGAGAGAACACAAAGTCAGGTATAGATTTGGACTGAAAAATACAAAAATTACCAGAGAGGCTTTTTTTTTTTTAATATCAGAATTTGATTTGTTTTTCTTTCTTCAAGTGCAGAACTTTTTTACCTCTACATGTAAGGAAAATGCTTTATGGCTTCTCCTCAGCATATCTGAATCAGTAATATCTATTCCTATAGTCTAGATTACTGTATTTTGTCAGATGTATGGTATGCAAATATTTCTCCTCGGTTTCTAACTTACCTTTTTGGCTCTTAGACTCCTACAGGACAAACTTTTAATTTTGATGAAGTGCAAGTTAGTAATTTCTTTTTACATGTAAAAAGATATCAAGTCTGAGAACTCTACCTAACTCTGGATTCTGAAAAATTTTTGTTTTCTTTTCTTTAAAGTCTTATATTTTTATGTTTTACATTTAATCCTGTGATCCAATTTTATTTAATTTTTGCACAAAGTGTGAGACTTACTCCTAAATTGTTCTCCTCCTGTTCATTCCTTCTCTGTCTTCAATTCTTTTTCCTCCTCCTTCCTTGTTCTGTTCCTCCTTCCTTTCTTTTCTGGTTGTTCACATTGAGTAATTGATATTATTCTGACTTCCTGTTCACAGGCTAATTGGCTATTTCCTCCTTCCTTACTCCTCCCACTAATACAACTGAAAAGCATGGACAGTATGTCCTCAAAGAAATGAAAGAAGATGGAGAAAAAAACTGACTCTGACTAGAACCCAAGGAGGAACACAGAAATGAGTTTCTGGGATTTTCTTTTTGCTTCTTGTATTCCAGACTGGACTCTGAAAAGATTAACAGTCTAGAAATGGTAATGGGTGCAGGAAAAAAATATGGAAAAATTTTGTTCTCTCAACTCAAAGACCATGAAAAGCAGTTTTTAAAACTAACCACGTGTAGTGAGGTACAATTTTCTTCTCAAATCTTAGTAAATATCTTTACTTTCTGCATATATTTGTGAGCATTTTCTATGTGAGGAGTCTATGTGTAGGTGTGGTGGTACATTATATTCTGCTCAATCAGAAAAAAAAACCAGTTTAGAGCACAATAAGAAAGACTGGTTGTTCAGGGGATCATAGGGTGTCGGTTGTCTTGGCTTGAAACATTTGTTCTATCCATGGAACCCAGCACTGCAATGCAGAAGGCAGATCTAGGTTCAGTAAGGCTGGGAGCAAATCCTTGTCCTATCTTTATCAGTGGTATTGCTTCAAAGACTTTCTAGCTCAGTTTTTTCAAGTGTAATATAGACATAATAAAATTATCTCATGAGATAATTCATGGAAATCATTTAGTGTAGTGTCTGACATACAGATCAGACTAAGTGTTAGACATTAAGAGTTAAAACCTTTCAAACAAAAAAGTATATTTTCCCCCAATTAAACACAGATGTATTACTCTGGGGACAGAGTGTATTGCCTTCCTGGAAAGTACTTTGCAAGAATGAAAGGCTAGGAAACTTGGGTGATATAAAAGAAGTTTGTCATCATCTTTGAGGGCCAGGTTCACCTGCTTGTATACCTATCATCTCTCAAGCTCTCTGAAGGTTGAATTAGAACATACAAATTTTTTAATATTTTTGAACACTTTAGACTAACACAGATAATGCATCTTGTTTCTTTCTTCTAATCACATCATCACTGTTTTAGCTATTTCAAAATTACAAATGTGTAGTGAAATGAAGCCTGAATCAAAATGTATTGGAGAATAGTCTAAAGTAGTACAAAATGTACCTTTATGGCAAGAATTTTCCCTGAGCTGGTAATGTGGTAGTCATGATCAAATTTTTCAAAATGCTAATCATGTTTAAGTAGCCACACCCTGTACTTACAAGAAAAGATGTGCCTGAATTTTAATGTCTCCATTGCCAAAGACTTGATATCAGATAAACTTAGTCATAGCCTCAGAAAACTAGGTTAATCTAGGTTCCAAAGGTAGTAATGTTGCTGTTTCACTCAAACATAAAGTTATGATGAAACCAAAACCACATTCTGAGTATATGTATATCCTTGTAATGTCTACCATAGGAAAACTGTCACTGCATCTCCTCTGAATCTTGAGTGAGAAGTGAGTGAGACCCATGTACAAAAAAACCTTCTAATGCTCATTGGCCTGGCTGCAGTCTCTAATTATTAGGACTCCAGAATATCCATAGTTGTGTATTTGCAACCTCCCCAGTAGCTGAACACAGGATAACATGCAGTATATAGAAGACATCACATGCTTGTTGGGTAGAATTTAATGAAGTTGAGTTAAATGGAAAAGAAGCTAAGGCATTGTTTTTGATCAAGGAGAAAAAGAAGTAATCAGTTTTTTTTTTTTTTTGAGAACCTACTACAATTTGCCAGGGGAACAGGGGTAGTACACACTTGGCATGATAATGTGTTGCGGCAAAGGAAGTTGGCACATGAAGAGGTTGTGCTTGTCATCACCCCAATCCTGGACTGTTTCCATGGAAAATTACCACAACTCTAGCAATATGATTCTTTTTCCTTATCTATGATAGAAGCAAGGTAGAAAAGGCAGAGCTATGGAAAGAGGAAACAGCTTCATTAAGCATTTTCTATGTGGCCAACACCATGCTCATTAGTTTACACCAACTCTCATTTCAGCATTTCAGCTCCTTTGCATCCCTTAAGTCAATCTTTGAAATTTTGTGCTACCTGTTAGCACTTCTGGACCAAAAGTGTTGATGGCATCATGTCATTTTCCCAAAGAATTTGCATTTTGTAACTTTTTTTCTGGAACCAGGAATCAAACTCAGGACCTTGTGCTTGCCAGGCAGGTGCTGTGCCACTGAGCTACACCCTCAGTGTCAGAATTTGCATTTTAATAGTGACAGAAGAATGATATAAAAGTGTGAGTCTATAGACTCTCACTGGTCAATGAGTGTATGTATGTATGTATTATTTATCTATCTAATCTATTATCTGTGTATCCTTCTGTTGAGGGAGAGAGAGAGAAAGGGACAGGAAGAAGCAGCAATAGAAAACAAAAAGAAAGCACTGAGGATTGGAGTGCCACCAGGAACTCAGGGGGCCTTAACTCTACTCACATTTTGTATCTTACCATCTTAACCTGAGGATGATACTGTTAGAGGGGAAAGCAGCTGTGGTATATTGTAATTATGTATAGTTAACCTTTGTCACATTTTTCCTTTTCCTTTCCACTTCTCCAGGTATTATTCTGCAGTTTATGCTGTCACGGTCAGAGTACCTTCCTTATGCTACTCTATGGTAAAATATCCTTAAGGCTTTGTTTCCCCCTTTGGATCCGTGCAGATATATTGTTGGAATGGTAACCAGTCACTTTGGTGAGTGTTAACTCAATGAGCAGCTAGTGGTGATCACATTTACAACAGTATATGTCAGTTTCAACTTTTCATAAGACCACAAGTATTTTAATGGTTAATTTAGCTATTTATATTTTGATACTTGTGGGGCTCTAGAGGATAGATACCTCATCCTAAAATTTTAGACCTGCAAACTGACCACTTTCGGAAGTACCTTTCTGGACCTAGGGAGCTCTCTTTAGCAGGGGGTGGATAAGATCGACTGATTCTGGTTCTGAGGCCCAGGACAACTTTTCTTTGTCCCCTTTTCTGGAATTATTTCTGAAGTCAAATGCTGCCAATTTGGACAGCTTCCCTTTTTTATTTTTTAGCTTCCTTCCTCTCATCCTTTACTACTGTCTCAATCTCCTCCAGGAGGTGAAATCTTCTTGCTTGCCAGACCATGTTTTATTCTTTTTAGTCTCTCAGTACCTAAGATAGGCCTTGCCCTGCTATTACTCATTGAAATGAATGAAGAAGAGAAGATATGATATAAATTCTCTTTATAAATAGTAAGATAATCTTTTCTGAGCTCTGCTTAGGCACATCCAGTGATGGTCCTTATTAGCTCCGGGCAATTGTGCCATTTTAGAATTGTTACCACATTGCTAATTTGAATGCAAATTTAGGCATTCTGTTATTTGCACAACTTTCTGCTTTGTTTACCCTTTTGAAATAATGAAATCATAGAACCCAACCATATAGATATGAAGTCCTCTGGTCCACTCATCTGTTTTTTGCAAGCTAAACATTAACCTTTCCTCATAGAATATAGTTTTAAGACTTTATCATTCCCAGTCCCTCTCTTTGAGCACATTCTTTCTTTAAAATGTAGCACTCAGTCCTGAGTACCGTTCTTGGACATGTTCCCACTAATGACATAGCTATTCTCACTGTCTCTGTCTGTCATTCTTCTATCTTCTGCACTATCAAGTTCCTCCCAAAACTCAGTTCAAGTTCATCTCAGCTATGAGCTTTCTTCCTTCTCTGATTATGCTTCTCTCCTGAATCACTTCAAACTTTTCTACCACAAACAACTAGTTGGACAGGAGCATGAGCACACCCTTTCCCTGTTACCTGTGAAAAACAGGTCAACAAGTAATCAACTTTTCCTTGAGTTCTCTCCCAGGTCTCTATCCTGGTGGGCCTCTCTGCCTGAAGTGAACACTTCCTAAAAATGAGTCCCTCAAAACCCAATGCATATCTTTCTAATAGTACCATCCTTGAGAGAAATGAGAATGAGAGATAAAGAAAACATCAATCAAATCTGTCTATGTCCCATAACAAGATGCCTACCCCCTTGTCCTATCCCATCATACCTTATGTTGTCCTGTTCCTGGAAATAGGGTAAGAAGAACAAATTGTGAGATTGCTTTACTTTTTAAAAATATTTGTAGTATTTCCTCATTTCTCTTTCCTTTGAACCAAGTAATATCTGCTACTCCTGAGGTGGGTTGTGGAGGAGGTGTGGAGGCAGACAATGTGCATAGTAGAATAGAAATCACCCTGGCATCAATCTGGGTATTTAGCACCTACTAACATTACATCAGTGTGTTGGATTCTTTGCTTACCTTTTCACAGTGCAGATTCTGAACTTGTGGTCACAAAAGACCTTCTTCCAATGTTTGTACAAATCTCCATATAAGGCACAATTTCAAGATCAAAAATTTATCTTTTTGCCTAATATAACAAGTTAATAATTAAAATATTTAAAATCTTAGATTTAGATCAGGCAATAATTTGGACCTTGTTTATAAATGAAGTTTTAATTTTTTATTTGACATGAGTTGATGAAAAGCTAAAAAACTTCAACTTATTACATTCTATTTGTTTATATACTATGTTAAAAATTTCTAGTGTTGTTGCTTTGTGATCAGATGATATATACCATAACTACTTTTTTCAAAGTTATGTTCTCTTTCTGAGTAGGATGTTATCTTTTAAACATTTTAAATTGGTCCTTGTAAAATAAAGATGCAGTTTTTTGGCTGCAGAGTTTAATATCCACTTACATTTATTACTGAGTTTATTCAGAGCCATATATTGTATACTCATTTGAATGAGTAAAGACTGAGTGGTAAATTCTGTTATTCCAATAACATTACGTTTCTGGTGATTTCTCTTTGGATTTCTTGTAGTTTTTGATTTATGTAATTTGATCTTGACTCTTCACTTGTAGTTCTGTGACTCTTCT